GAATAAAAAGAAAACTTGAAGATAATTAGAGTATAAAGATAATATATCAAATAAATAAAGAATGAGTTTGGTTTGGTCAAGTCAACAAACTCAATTAACATTATTAATGGTTAAAATATATTGTTAATTATTAAAATATATTATTTATTAATGTTTTTAATAAATTGCTGCAAATACCGAGTGTATGAGAATAATGGACACATGTCAGAAAAACATTTTTAATTAAAGTTAATTCAAAATTACTTAATCTAGTGAAATATAACATACAGAGTCTTGTGCTGTAACTAAGACAATAAATACTTATGTCTCATATTATATTATTATTTCTTCTTCATAAATTTCAACAATTAACCTTAATTTAGAAAAAGTTTCTCGTTGGTTTCTTTCTGTATAAAAACCCGGAAAATAAAACACTATAAACATTGGCAAAATAGAATATATAAAAAAACCGTTAAATAAAAAAGTTTCCAAGAAATTGGACGAAAATTATCTCAGGTGAGCATTGTTTAACGTGAACTTGTGACTTGTGTTATATGTAATTATAAATATTAGTAAAAAGTTTTTTTATCATTTTTCTGCATAAAATATTCAGTAGTTTAAAAATAAATAATAATTACTAAATACACCACATGTACTGATTTCTTTCGAAAATCGACAATTATGAAACTATGAACCCTTCCCGGACACAAACGGTACATTGTGAAACAAGAAGTTAGAGAGAAACAAGCCCTATAACATAGGATACAATATTTTAATGAAGAGTGCTTTCCATAAATCAATAAAATGAAAAATATACGAAATAATATACATGTACTGATTTCTTTCGAAAATCGACAACTATGAAACTATTATCCCTTCCCCGACACAAACGGTACATTGTGAGACAGAAAATTGCAGAGAAAAACAAGCCCTATAACATAGGATACAACATTTTAATGAACAGTGCTTTCCATAAAATCAATAAAATGAAAAATATATGAAATAATATACATGTACTGATTTCTTTCGAAAATCTACAACTATGAAACTATGAACCCTTCCCGGACACAAACGGTACATTGTGAAACAGGAAATTGTAGAGAGAAACAAGCCCTATAACATAGGATACAACATTTTAATGAACAGTGCTTTCCATAAAATCAATAAAATGAAAAATATACGAAATAATATACATGTACTGATTTCTTTCGATAATCGACAACTCTGAAGCTATGAACCCTTCCCGGACACAAACGGTACATTGTGAAACAGGAAATTGCAGAGAGAAACAAGCCCTATAACATAGGATACAACATTTTAATGAACAGTGCTTTCCATAAAATCAATAAAATGAAAAATATACGAAATAATATACATGTACTGATTTCTTTCGAAAATCGACAACTCTGAAGCTATGAACCCTTCCCGGACACAAACGGTACATTGTGAAACAGGAAATTGCAGAGAGAAACAAGCCCTATAACATAGGATACAACATTTTAATGAACAGTGCTTTCCATAAAATCAATAAAATGAAAAATATACGAAATAATATACATGTACTGATTTCTTTCGAAAATCGACAACTCTGAAGCTATGAACCCTTCCCGGACACAAACAGTACATTGTGAAACAGGAAATTGCAGAGAGAAACAAGCCCTATAACATAGGATACAACATTTTAATGAACAGTGCTTTCCATAAAATCAATAAAATGAAAAATATACGAAATAATATACATGTACTGATTTCTTTCGAAAATCGACAACTCTGAAGCTATGAACCCTTCCCGGACACAAACGGTACATTGTGAAACAGGAAATTGCAGAGAGAAACAAGCCCTATAACATAGGATACAACATTTTAATGAACAGTGCTTTCCATAAAATCAATAAAATGAAAAATATACGAAATAATATACATGTACTGATTTCTTTCGAAAATCGACAACTCTGAAGCTATGAACCCTTCCCGGACACAAACGGTACATTGTGAAACAGGAAATTGCAGAGAGAAACAAGCCCTATAACATAGGATACAACATTTTAATGAACAGTGCTTTCCATAAAATCAATAAAATGAAAAATATACGAAATAAAATACACGTACTGATTTCTTTCGAAAATCTACAACTATGATACTATGAACCCTTCCCGTACACAAACGGTACATTGTGAAACAGGAAATTGCAGAGAGAAACAAGCCCTATAACATAGGATACAACATTTTAATGAACAGTGTTTTCCATAAAATCAATAAAATGAAAAATATACGAAATAATATACATGTACTGATTTCTTTCGAAAATCGACCAGCTATGAATCTATGAACCCTTCCCGGACACAAACGGTACGTAGTGAAACAGGAATTTGTAGAGAGAAACAAGGTATAAGACCACAACGATATTCTGCATTCTTAATAAAACAGTATGAATTTTAATCCAATTTTTACTGTTTAGTAGGTATATCAAAATGAAAGTTTTGCATTGTAGGATAATAAACTTTTACTTTTTTGCTGGTATTTGTTGTGGTTTTAAGAACTATTTGGTCATGTTTATTATTTAAAATTGTTCTGTCTTTTGTACTCGTTGCAAAGTTGCCAAAGTTTCTATTATTTTAAAGATAAAGTCAATAAACGTCCCAAATCAATTTTTTTTTTGAAAATATCTTTATAAATAGATATAAATCTAATATAAGATTCTCATGTAACAGTTTTTTATACTCCTCCGAAACGGCTTAACCGATTTTGATGAAATTTTATATGTATATTCAGTAGGTCTGAGAATAGGTTGTTATCTGTTTTTTACCCCTAAGTGATAAGGGGGCGGTCTACACCATTTTTTTTTATTTTTTGGACAAAATTTTTTATTTTCATTTTTTTATGACGTGGCATTAAAAATACATACAACCCTAAATTTTCTCCCTTCTACTATCAACCCCTATTTTTTAATATAATTTTCAACTCCGTGAATAAAAATTTTGACAGTTGTCTCATAAAAAATACTTATATGGTAAAACAATGTTTGTCGGGTCAGCTAATCGCGAGGGGTGTCTCACTTGGGTAAAAAATGTACGTACATGTACTGCAAACCTTTGAATAAGAAGTCTAAGGAAGGAGCATATCAAAAATATTAGGTCCACCGCGATGGGCCTCAAATATGGCGGACTTAAATTCCGGTTTATCAGTGCCGTTCTAATTTTATTTAAAAAATGTAAAACTATGATGTAGGGTAGACGTGTGGTAGACTCTATAATTTTTTTATTTATTTTACGTTGTGAATAAATGTTGGTAGTTATTAAAATTGTTATAAAAATATAAAATTCTAATAAAAATAGATAAGTTATAATCATTATTTATAACCATAAACATCCGATACGCTACTGAAGCAGGTAAGTCAAAATGACGTATCTAAATTCTTTGACATCTAATCTTTGACAAGTAGTAAATAAAAGCAAAAATGCAAGAAAAAATATATAATTAGTTAATTTAAGTGAATTTCATAAATGATCGGTTTATTACACGTATGTATATTATATAGTCACTTACTAGCGAAAAGATGTTCCATTATTTCACTCGATTTTACCGAGATCTACCACACGCTACACAACCAACTATTTTAGAGTCTTTTTCGAAAAATCGCGATAGTGTCACTGTTATTTTAAGTTCTGCCACAATTTCCATCTAGATTTACAACCTTTATACAACTATCAGTAGTAGAATAAATAATAAATAACATAAAATAAGCTCCGTAAAGACTGACAAATCCACAAAATTTCAAATCAAATTCAAATGTGTCAAATGAATCGTCAAACAGAACTGTCAAGGATCCCCACCCTAGAGTCCTTTTTCCGCCCACCATGCATGAATACATTAATAGTATTATGCTCCTTCCTTAGTCTTCTTATTCAAAGATTAAAAGGATTATAAATTTTCTTGCGAAATTTTTTTTGGAAAATTTAGACTTTTTTAGTTAAGAAACATAATTTCTTGATAATATGTCGACATAGGGAGTAGATTAAATTTACAAGAAAGAAAACCCAGAAAATATCCAGTGGTTCTAAAAACGTACAGCTTCGCCACAAAAGGCGTCATTTTTACACCTAATAAAACAATATACTCTTATCGAGATCTACCAGCTTTGAATATATTTGCACTTATTTAAGACTCGCCCTGTGTAAATCTATACTAATATATAAAATCCTTAAGTGACTGACATACTGATTAATCACGATCCTGCTCAAACCACTCAACGTAAGAAGCTCAATTTTCGCATACAGGTTGACTCTAGGGTGTAGAGGTTCGATAAGAAGGGATTTTTCGAAACTCGAATTCTAAGGGGGTGAAACTATCCCTCAAATATTAAAATATTTTTTATTTAAAAACCGGTGAGTTTTTCGGAAAAACTCTTAAACACGTATATTTTATTTTGTTGTTTTACACATTTTAAGATTTTTAATAAATTTATACAGGGTGTTTTATAAAATATGGCCATTGAGTAATCACGATTCTGCCTAAACTGCTTGACGTTTAAAGCTGGTTTTTGGCAAACGGATTGACTGTGGTGTATAGAGGTTCGATAAGGAGGGGTTTCTCGAATCTCAAATTCCAAGAGGGTGAAAACGCCCCTCAAATATTACAATATTTGTTATTTAAAAATATTGTTTTATACACGACGATAAAATTTCATTATCGTCTCCCGAAATCTTTTCGATCGACGATAAATACCATTTTATCGTCTTGTATAAAAAATAACTATTACTCTCTGTATATTAATTACATTGGCAAATAAGTCAACATGAATTTGACATATATCTTGGGTTATACTACTTTTTTATACACTTTTTATAACGAAAGTACATGCATCTATTATCATCATCGGCAGAATATTTTGTATGGTACATTGTATCTTTATTCATATTTTTTAAATGTCTTTGCAAGAACGGTGAGCTTACTTTTATTCTTTAGTTCTTTATATTATTCTGCATAATATCGAAAAATTAATTTTATGTTATCTTTTTCAGGGTTTGTTGTAGCCGTTTCAGTAGGAATAATTCTCTTTGGAATTATAGTGGTGATATTCTTTATGAGCTGGGTGAAGCTAGTTATAAACCATGTAAGTACAAAGAAATACATCTGTAGATGTAGTTTAGATGTAGAAAAAATGTAGATTAAAATTTGCCGACCGCAAACCGGGGTAACTTTGGTACGATTTTTAGTGTTTTTCGTCGATATAGTCTTGGTTATATGAAATACACACAACCAAACTTATATGGAATCATCTATTATTTTTTATAATTTTGAGATATATGAAAATTTTATGTTTATGGATAAAACTCAGTCCTTACCAAAAACTTTTAATGAAAAGTAATCCATATAGCAATAAAACCACAATGGTATTTTTTTAGTTTCTGAAAGGAAATGAGATTTAAATTTTTACTGGGCAAAAAGCAAAAACAAAAGGAAAATTGATGATTTTAATAATTCGTGTTGCCATCTCTAGCCCTTATGTGTAAAATTTGGAAAATAAATTGGTTATAATAATGGTTTTATAATTCGGAAACTCTCTATTTATTTATCTAGTAATGCTAAAACACTCTATTTGAAAGTCGATTAGAGAAAATAGTATGATTCATTGGCAAGCGATGTAAATATTTGTGATCAGGTAAAATTGTGATGTAAGAGGAGGCTTAGCTTGCCGACGGCAGGTCAGTAGTTGATAGGCCGGCCGGCTGTAATGTTGTGTTTTGTCACAGAGCTGACATTTGGAAGTAGCGAGTCTTTTGTCTATGTAAGTAGAAAACCTCTTGTGATGTCGTTTCTTCGAGGATGGTCTTGAGAGTTTGAGGTCTCTCTTGCTTCTCGATTGACACGGTGGGGCGTTGCGTGAGGACCTTAATTAGCCTCATCGATTAGGATGCGAATCTGTTTAGCGGCAGATTTGCGTCCGGGGGAAGGCCCTATACTATTTCAGGTGACACTAGCTAGTTGTTGAAGATTATTAACCAATAGATCCGAATAATATTTGAATTAGATGGAAGGTATGGAATGTGATATATTGAATAGAATGTCAGTGATGTCAGTGATTAGGGGGCGGAGTACCCCCGGGTGAGTCTTACTATTTAACTATCAATTTTATCCAGATCAGTAAATGTTTGTTTTGTTATTTTCATGTACAATGAGAGAGTGCTTGCCAATGACCAACCAAATGGATATTTGAGGTGAATTTGCATTGTGAGATCCGGTTGAGTAAGCCCCAGATACCCGCGCTGGCATGCTTCTTATTAAATGATCAACGTTGTCTTCGGGTACGTTTTCCCATTCTGCTAATGCTGCATTAATCATCAATAAGCTGTGCGAGATTTCCTGGACTGTTTCGACGAGCTCTAACCCTTCTTTTGATGGTCTCACAAGTTAGTTGGTAATTCTAATCCACACGTATAGGGTTTAGATCTGGTGAACATGCAGACCAGTCCGAAACCATGACAACATCCGTTTCAAGACATTCTCTAGCCAATCTGCTGTTATGGGGAGGTGCATTATTGTACATGAAGTTAAAAATATCCCCAATTGGAGCTCTCCAAAGCCTACCGATTGGTTCTAGCACTAAATCAACATACCTCTAACTCGTTAAAGTTTGTTGAATTGGTAACAATGGAGTTTTTGCTCCCAGCATAATACCTCCCCAGAACAGTTCCTCCTTTATATTTTGGTACCGATTTGGCAGCCTGGAGCCTCGCTCGTCTTCCTGGAGCTCTGAGAACCCGAATTCTATGGTCATCTGATCTTAGATCAATTCTAGTCTCTTCTGAAAAAAAAAACAATTTACCAATTCTCAATTGTCCAGTTTTGATGTTGAAGGCACCAATTTAGCCGGTCAATTTTATTTTGAAGAGATAACTGCCGGACCCGTAACTAGGGTTTCATCGAGACGAGAAATCTCGTCTCGAAGCCAATTTCTCGTCTCGTCTCGATGTTTTTCTCGAAGTCAATTTCTCGATCTCAATTCGAGATTCTCGAAATTTCGATAGTCTCGAAAATAAATAACTAATTTATTATTATTAAAATATTGGCGCCGGGGGGCACGTATAGCCGCCCATACTAAAATATTTTAATAGAAAGTTGGTAGGCAGTTCTTTAAGTTTCAAAGTAAAGGAATTTTTTTCAATTTTTTTTATCTCAAAAACTGCGACTTTGACTGATTTCGATGTTATTACAAATTTTGTTGCAAATATTATTCCTAATCTTAAATTGAAAACCGCGTTTCGCTAGCTACTGTAATTTTGGAATTACGATTTTTTAAAATTTTTAACTCCTTCCCATACCCCCTTACCAACCTCCCACCCCCACCAAAAACTAATGGCTAGATTCTCGGGTGCCACAGTATTTATGAGCCAAATTTGGTTAAAATCGGTTTAGCGGTTTTTGAGTTATCGTGTTACAAACGGATAGACAGACAGACAGACACCATGAAAATATTTTGTATTTAGGTCATTTATGACCCAAATAAATCATTTTGGTCGGCTAAAAATAACATGTTATAAAATCTGCACCAAAATATAGGGTAAATTTTTTCTGTTAAAAAATTACGTTATAGAATACAGAGCTATTATAGGTATGGTATGGGTATGAACTAAAAGCCATGTGTAACAAAAAAAAACGCAGACTTCGGCCCAAAATCACAAAAATAAAAATATATTGTTTTAAAAAGCGAAAATCAAAACGATTCCTTTATTTTTTAATTTAGTCTTTTATTCCATATGGGTTTAAAATTTACCTAGTTTACCTAAGTTTAAAATTTTTACTTCGTTGTGCAACAAACTGATTTTTGTTTACTCGAAACAGTCTTTTATTGAAAAACTTTTTTTCTTCGACATTACTTAAATTCGTTTAACTCAATAGGAGTTAATAGTGAAATTTATACAAAAATGGTGCCATAAGAACAAGAATATATTATATTTAGGGCATTTCTTTATTCTGAAAACACCGACTGATCGAACAGTTTTGGGGAAGTTATCTTTTGATTATTTGTAATAATAGTACATAAAGAAATGTAAATTAGCATTGTACGAGAAAAGATTTCCCAACATAGTTTTTTATTTCCATTTTTCTAGCCTTTTATGAGCTGTTGGGTTATAGCAGCATCTAAAGTTTTTCGAGATCGAGAAATCTCGAAAAAAATTCTCGATCTCGAAAAATCTCGAAGTCATTTTCTCGATCTCGCCTCGAAAAAAAAATTCTCAGTCTCGTCTCGATCTCGTCTCGAAATCGAGACGAGACGAGACGAGAAATCTCGAATTTCGAGAATCTCGTGAAACCCTACCCGTAACTCCCTCCTACTGTACAACCCTCGATCACGAAGCCTTTTTCTTATGGTTTCAACTGAAACGTTCATGTCAGAAATAAAGAGTAATTCCATATAAGTTTGGTTGTGTATATTTAAACCCAAGCAGTGTCATTTAACATCTTTATTATAACACAACACCAGGGTTCGGAAGTAGTTAATTAAGACGTAATTTACTTGATTAACTACGTGTAGTTTTTCTTCAAAAACTACGTATTTTCCTGTTCATTAACTACATAAAAACTACGTTAATAAACTATGTATTGAAATTATGAATAATTTCAATACATGAGGTGTAATAGAGATAATATGATGTAAATATTATATTTAAAGTCATATTTCTTCTGTTTTCTTAAATACATTATGTGTTTTTAAAGCTTCAACTTATTATAACCTCACCTCAAACCTTTCATATTTGAAAGTTACATACATAGGTTACATAAACTACATCCTCTACATAAACTACATTAACTACATGTAATGTAGTTTATGTAGTTTTTAAAAATAACATGTAGTTTTCCGAACCCTGCTCCTGGCATGTTTTTTATTTTTAATTTTCTATTCTCTAAAGTTAAATGTTTAATTGATTTTTTCATTTTTACTTTTTGGCTTAAAATAGGCCTTTAAATACGAAGTTTTGGTAAGAACTTCGATTAACGTATTTATAGCAAAGTAAGTATAGACCATCTAAAGTAAATACCTAATATAGCTTTGATTTGGAAACAGTTCTTGTATTTTTAATAATTTCATTAAGAAAGACTGGAAAATATATATTTTTATTTATTTATTAATATCTCTGAAACTATCGAAATGAATTTACTCATCTCTTAGAATTATTTACATTTAAAAAAATAATCTCGATCCCTCACACTCTTTAGCCAGTGAGCCACCCTGTAGAAGTTAAAATATTTTCCCGAAATACATTCTAACACATACTTTATATTGGCATCTACAGGGTGAGTTTCCTACGATGTTCTCTATGGGTATCTCGGAAACCACTGGAGATAGAGAGTCGGTTAAATGAGGAAAGAATTGCAGTTTTGTGGGGACATAAACATACGCTTTTCAGATTTTTGAAAACGTTCATGGCTTACTAGATATTTCGAAAAAAACAAATTTCGGCTATTTCAAAAATTGTCCCTAATTCCAATATAATCTATTTTAGAGAAAAAGTTTTCAGATAAAAGTTGTAGATAATTACATCTCTAATAAGTTTGTGTTCTCCGATTTTTTCTACAGCCTGTAATTTTTGACATATGACAAAAACATATGTTTTTTTTAATGGAAAGCATAGTTGGCCATGACTTCTTAACAAGCGCAATTTTTTAAGCTTTTCAGCGATATAAGCTATAATATATCTTTTTCCAAAAATTACTGAGTTATAGCCAATTCTTATCATTTTTAAACAATTTCACTTAGTTAGCCATGGGAACAAGTTCAATCGTCGTTGCTCTCAGTAATGTAAAACTGTCACATCCAAACTTTGTAAATTAAAATAAACAAAAATAGTAAATATGGATTTTTCAAATAAAGAAAAGCGTGTAGGATTATTGGTTCAACTTTTCTTGGCCATACAATTTCGAGGATATGTTGACCGGTGAACGTTACTTACGTTTTTTAGAAAAGTTAAATTTAGGTACTCGCGCATCAATAGAGTAGTTCCAACATGACTTTCATTATACCACTCCCCCTTATAATGAAAGAAATGTTAAACTATATCTAATAACAATAAAAATAAATAGCAAACCAAGACATGATATTTTGCTACAGGT